TTAGCAGCCTCACAAAAATCTGGATCATCCAATTTCAAGTGGGAAGGTGCATTGTCCTGTTGAATGAAGATTGGTTTGCCCACATCTTCTCTTGGCCACTTAGCTCGAATGGCAGGCAACACTTGGTTGATTATAAAATCTCTAATCACTTCTCTAGTGATCGAAGTAATGGGCTTCATAACCAAGTCTCCACGGACACGGCCGGTTCTCTCATTACCTCTTTGAGCCGGTTCATAACGAACAAGTGAAAAACAACCAATCCTACCATCAAAAATACAATTCCCATCCCTAAACCTTGGCCGAGCATAAACACACAAGAACATGAGCCTAGGGATGTAGTTCTTATTCTTACAAGTCCGATGAGGATCATCTTCTTCAGGTAGCAAATAATATTTTTCAGATTTTTGAGATAGGTAAAACCATTTCTCATCAATGAACACAAAGTCAAACAACTCCTTGAACCTTGGATCATCAAGCAATTCCCTGTTAACCATGTCAACACACCACTATAACCTAGACCTCTTGTTAGCTTGAGTGAGATATGGTTTGATGCTACTAGAGTGGCGCCTAATCAATCCTTTTTTCAAATACCTTTGAATCTTCCATTTGCTCAAGTTTAGTTTGGCGCACACATCCTCTATAGTCATTCTTTCCTGTAGAGGAATGTTTCTCAATGCGTCCAAATCAACAGGGATTGCTTTACGGCCAACTCTACCCTTCTTTAGACTATCAACCACAACCGAAAAAGAGTTTCTAAGTTGTGTTTTACCTCGGTTTCAAACACGCTGAACTGTGCGAATGTTAAGGTCAAATTGAGCAGCAACAGATGCAATATCTTTCTTGTGTAGTATACCATCATTGCTTTTACACAACAAAGCTTGATAAACTTGTTTTCGGAGTTCTTCACTCATTTCTTTCCTTCGGACCCTTCGGTTGGGTGGTTGAACTTGTTCTTCCACGGTTGGGTTGTCCACAGCATGCTCTGTTAAAAGAAAAATGCATGTTGAAGCTTACTCACGGCATGTTCTAATTATAGGAGAAAAAAGCATGTTCTGCATGTTCATGCTTCATAGGAGAAAAAACAAACACATTCACGGCATGTTCTAATTATAGGGAAAAAACAAACACTTTCATGGAGTAGCATCATGAGCATGATCTAGTAGAAGAATGTGATTGTGACAAAAAAATAGTTACCAGCAAGATTTTGTACAAAGTCGAAATCAACTGCACCGAACTCATCAAGTGGTAAGTTCAAATCTAGTACTGTAAAAAAAAAGAAACAATAATGAGAACCGAAATAATATGAACAAGCAACGAACGGATACGTCGAAGTGATGCATTTACCATCGTGGTGATCTTCTGCCTCGTCCAGATTGAACAAGTCGTTGGCATTGTCGTCTTGTTGCTCTTGGAGATCAAACACGTCGTTGGGAACGTCATCTTCTGATGCCGGAACGTTGAGACCACCACACAAACATGCTGTGAATATCAAAAAATAAATGAAAAAAATGAGTGAGAATGAATCAGCACGTTACCATTGTTGTTGTGGTCCTCCAGTATAGGCTCGTTGAGATTGAAGGGGAGATTGCCGTCGTCATCTTCCTCCATACGAACGTTCGAGATCAAAGCCATGGAGGACATGAGCCATTGCGCCCGCACGGATTCTTTGTGGAAGGAGTTGGTAGAAAGAGAAGAAGCTAAGCCATGGCTAGATGAACAAGCAAGGCAAGGCAAGTAGTACTCGAGCGGTCGAACCGATGCGGCGTTTTAATATTGCGCAGAAACCGAACCGTTCGACGACGAAAGGCCGAGGCGCGTAAACGAAAAAAAAGCGCTACCAGCGAAACAAAGAGTGAGCGAAAAAAGTCTACACACGCAAGCAATCGAAAAATTTCATGCGGCATAGCGCAGAACCGGCGATGCATGCGAGAGCAAGCAATGGCGTGCGCATGCATAGCGCCATGCAAATTCCCGCGAGCGTCCAAAAAAATAGTGCAGCCAAGGGATTCGAACGCTGGACCTCCTGCCTCGGTCCGCAGATCGCTTACCACTCGGACTATAAGGAATTGTTGTATAGGAGACACCCGTAGTCCTATTTAATAAGGGCAAAAAAGGAAAACTCTCCCCTAATTAATCACTCTTTGGCACTCCTTGGTAAGCGTAATCTTGTCCTAAACGACTTCTAATTGCGATACGGAGGGAGTATCATTTTGCTTCCCGTGAGGCAGGATCAAAACCTCTCACAATATCACTTGATCGGAGGCGAAGAACAATCACCAGTCTTCCTCAACGCCCCACCACTGTTCCAATCCGTTTTAGGTAGCAGTTACCATCAAGAGTAACAAGAATCTCACAGCTCAACTCGATCACTAGTGCCACTAGATGCAACTACTCAATGCAAATGCACTAGAATCACTATCAATCTCAACTTGGATCAAGTAATCGACAAGAGATGAGTGAGAGGTGTTTTCTTAGACTCACACGGGTGTTCAATAAGTTAGAGTGCCAAGAGAGCGGGCCGTAGACTGAGCAACATCTATTTATAACATCCCAAGAGCACCGCTAGTCATTACCCCTTCATAGCAGGGGAAATCGGGACCGTCGGACCGGCCAACACCCCTGCGTCGGACCATCAGCCAAGGGTCCATTGACCTCCCAAGCTACCACGTGTTTACTAGCTATTCGAAATCGATTGTTGCTGCCCAACAGCTACGCGCGCTGATGGTCCGAGAGGCCTCAAAGACGACCAGCGCCCGACGCCACGCAGAAAGGTCTAGAACCGTGAAATCACGCGTCGGACTGGGGCGACGCCCTTGCCGCGCCTGGTTTTTCTAGTAAAGTGTCGGAAAGAAGAAACTCAATACCAAATGGTGGAGCTCTCCTTGCCTCCTGGCACTTGTTGTCGTCACGCGGTTTGGGCCATAATTGATTTTGCAAGCCTGCTATACCAGCAAGTAGACGAGCCGATTTTGGAAATAACTTGGCTCAAAAAATTTAGCAGCCCAATACTTGATTCCTCTCAAACCGTTGTCTAGGCCTTAGCAGTAGTCCCTGCACCCTTAGGTCCTCAAATGATTCCCAGGCCCACCCAATTCCGAGCCTACTCGGGCCTATTCCCCTAAGGCCCATCAGTTAATATGGATTTTTAAATTTGACTAAATTTTAAAGAAATTTATACCGTTGACCTCTCAAAGAAAGTAAAAATCGTATTTCTAGCTCCGCCACTATGCAGCGTATGCCTGCCTTTGCGCCGCCGTGCACAAGGTCACCGGAGAGAGAGAGAGAGTGAGAGGACCCACTAATACCTAGGTTGTACGTGTCAAGGTAGATGAAGGGAATGCACTTTTCTCAATCTATTGGAACAACAATCTTTTAAAATAAAAAACGTATTTTCTTGGACCAGTCTCGTTAGAAGTTTTATACGAGTTTTATTTATATTAAATAAGCTACCACATATGTGTTTTTGATGACATGACAACGTTTTTAAGAAAAGAGAAAATTGAGTTTTATCTAGAAACTCTCTCAACACGATTATCAACTCTATACAAGTTATGAAATTAAGTGTTTATAAAGTAATTGATTGATACTATGTATTGAGGATAGATGTTTCGTTCACGTTTCATTTTATTTTAGATGTAGTAGTCTAATTGACTGGGTGGTGGCGGTTCTGCAAGGACTCCCCAGTCCCCAGTCCCCACCCCTACCCGCGCGCCGTGTATAATTCTCGCCCGCCTGTCCTCCATCATTGCTTCTAGTCTTCTACGGAGCATCACCATATACGTGTACTCGCATATTTAACAACCATGCAAGTACGTATCACATGTTTTGAATGAATACATATGCATCAGATCATGTTTAGCCATTTCAAACACGTGAACGCGCACGCAAAAGCACACACTCGTGAGCCAACAAAGTCATTGACCATGACCGGGCAGACATGATCCTCAACCGACGATCGTTCGTCGTTCACTAAAATAATACACGTTCGTCGACCTTTCTTTTCTCCTCTCAAATCTCAATCAGCCACATGGTTCGTTTCGCTACGGCATTTTAATTTGACCATCCATCCATCCAACGATCCAATCCAAGATGCTGCTGCTGCTGCTGATGCCAGTCCAAGACTTGGCACGACGACGACGATGTCTCCATTCCTCCCACGTACCAACAACCCTTGAAGACGAAGCCTCTCTTTCTGACTTCGGTTTAGCTTCGCAGCAACGGAAAACCAAGCGTGCGTGTTTCAAGTAAAACCGGCATCTTTTTTTTTTCCAAAAAGTGAAGCAACGGCATTTCTCTGCTCGATCAAACCTGCAGAAATTTCAGTAGGCTTATGCATTTCCCGTCCAAAGTCAACCCATCTGCCAGCACGTAGCAGCAAAGTAAACCCGAATCCTACTGATAAGGCCCCGTTTAGATAATCAGAAGAAATTTGGTAACAATTCAATTTAACTAAAAGTTTATTCTCGTCAAACATAGTGCAATTAGATTCTTTTTTCATCAGAAATGACGAAGAATCTTGAAAAAATTTGGATTTTGGGTGGAATCTAAACAGGGCTTAAATAACTCAAACAACTAGTATGAACATAGTCGACTTTCAGAAATGCAGAATTCGCTTCTAGACGTTCAACGCGAATCGAAAACTCTTTCACACATCTCACGGGAGACGGGAAGAAGCACAAAAACTCCCAAGCACCTCGCATCACATCACACACAGGAGACCCGGAAAACGACCTACCGTTCCTAAACGAGCCACCAGTCCACCAGAATGCCCCCGGCCCCCCAATGAAAAGAAACCAGCCGCCACGCCACCAACCGGCGCGCACCTGCCTGGAACAGGAAGCACACACACCTGGCCCGCGTCATCTGCCCGTGCGCGCTCCACCCCACCCACCAACCGTGCCTGCATAAATGAAGGGTCCGCGCCACCCGGCTCCGTCCATCCACCAAACCTGAAGCCCCTCTGCCCCCCTCCCACTCGCACCACCAAGGCACACCAACCAATGGAGGCGGAGGCGTTCCCGATACGGTTCACGCAGGGCGTGCGCGCCTACTGGCGGCGCCGCAAGTACCACCGCCTGGCGGAGGACGGCGGCACCAAGCCCCGCTCGCGGTCGCGGCAGCTGGGCTCGGCCTCCGGCGGCGGCGGCGCGCGCATGCGGCGGCGTGTGCGCGTGCTCCTGGCGGGCCCGCGGCGCGCGCTGGCGCGGGCGCGGGACGCGTACGTGGGCGGCATGCTGGCGCTGGCCAAGCGCGCGTCGGCGCTCGCGCTGCCCAGCGCCGTCGAGGCGCTCTGGACCAGGCGCGTGCCGCGCCGCAAGCAGGGGCAGCTCCCGGCGCCCGGCGGCAGCGGCAAGCCCACCGAGTTCGAGCAGCGGCTCATCTTCGAGATCTACAAGTCCATCGTCGCGTCCAAGGAGCTCACCACCATGCTCCACGCCTCCGACGCGCACCTGCCGCCCAAGGCACGCGCCGCGGGGGTACCTTCCACGCATCTGCTCGACATGTGATCGATCCGTGCACGTACGTGAGCCTTCGCGCTGGAGGAGGAGAACGTGCAGCTTAATTGTAAGAGAGATTTAGAGAATCCCAAGCTGTCAAATAGTACTAGCGTCGTTTACTCGTCATGAATGCATGCAAGCAAGCAAGCCACCCCTGCTGCAAAAGAGGCATGCAGCTTGTTGCAATATGTAAATTTCTAAGAAAATTTAGCGACAAAATCAAACTCGTGGCTCCCTCGGATGCAAGTTGTAGGAATACGTATTATTCAGCCATCGACAATACAGTGCCATACATGTTGAATCGAATAGGACTTAGCCGTAGATCTAGTGGGTGTATCTTGTAAATGGATAACATGTCCTACTACATCCACTAGACAGAGATTAGAGGGAGGAGTAATGCTAGGTTACCAATCATCGTAGGGCTTCGATCCAGCGGCGTCGGTCATGGTCGTTGTGTCGGTGTCTGCGCGAGGGCAACGACGGTCGGTGAAGACGGTGACGGTGATGGGCGGTGGCGACCAACGGTGAAGACCGATGGCGGCGCAGTGCAGTGGTGGAGGTGCTTCCGTCACTGACTGCGCCTCTCTAGATCGGATTAGGGATTTTGGTGGGGAGCTCGGCTCAGGTGAACTTCGTCCTCTGAGCCGCCGGTCCCCACCTCTATTTATTGCGCAGTGTGACAGGGGCCCTCCAGCCATAGTGGGCCGTTGGACCCAGTTTGAGATTAGAGATCAATCTAACAATCTCCCTTTGATCTCCTACCATCTTTCAATTTCATATTATTTACTTTTGTTCATTCCATTACATATTAGCGCATAGAGCATGTTTCATCGTCACGGTCAATTGCCGATAGATTTAACAGCTACAATACACCACTCTTTTCTGAAATAGATACTTAACTTTGGGCCTTATTTTATCTAGGAATTATAGGCTTTCCCTTAAACCCATGCCGGCTACATGTTCTCTGAACACGTTGGGTGGTAAGTCTTTTGTAAGCGGATCCGCGAGCATCCTTTCGGTACTTATATGCTCAAGACTTATGACATGATCTTGGACTTTATCTTTCACAACATAATATTTTATGTCAATGTGTTTGGCAACACCACTTGACTTATTATTGTGAGCATATTGTACTGCCGAATTATTATCGCAGTATAACTTAAGTGGTCTATAGATATCGTCAACCACCTTCAAACCGGGTATGAACTTCTTTAGCCAGTTCACCTGCCTCGTTGTATCATAATACGCTACAAACTCGGCATACATTGTGGACAATGTAGTGACGGTTTGCTTTGAGCTTTTCCATGAAATAGCTCCCCCTGCGAGAGTGAATACATATCCAGACGTGGATTTTCTATCATCTCCCGCATAATCAGAATTTGAATATTCCACTATATGTAGTGAATCTGATCTTCTATACGTCATCATGAGGCCTTTCATTCCTTGCAAATAACGCAAGACTTTCATTACTGATTTCCAGTATTCTGTTCCAGGATTGCTCTGGAATCTGCCAAGTAACCCGGTAACAAATGCTAAGTCAGGACGCGTACATACTTGAGCATATTGCAAGCTTCCGACAGCTGAAGCATATGGAACCGTTTTTATTTGATCGATCTCATACTGATTCCTAGGGCATTAAAAATCCATATATCTGTCGCCCTTGACTATAGGAGCAGGTGAGGGATTAAATTTGTGCATATTGAATTTCTTTAAGATCTTTTTTATGTATGCCTTTTGTGACAGTTCTAATACCCCTTTACTTCTATCTCGGTGAATCTCGATCCCTAAAATGAACGAAGCTTCACCAAGATCTTTCATATTAAATTTTGAGGACAAAAACTTCTTTGTCTCCGATAGTAGACTAACATCACTACTAGCAAGTAAGATATCATCCACATACAGGACAAGGAAGATAAACTTCTCATTCTTAAATTTTGCATAGACACAATTGTCCTCTACATTCTCTTTAAACCCAAAATTCCTTATTGTCTGATCAAACTTCAAGTACCACTGTCTTGAAGCTTGTTTTAATCCATAAATGGATTTCTTTAGGTGGCATACCATTCGTTCTTTTTCTTCCATGACAAAACCTTTTGGCTGTGCCATATAAACATTTCCCTTCAAGTCCCCGTTGATAAATGCCGTCTTTACATCCATCTGATGTAATTCTAAATCATAATGTGCCACTAATGCCATTATGATTCTGAAGGAATCCTTATATAAGACTAGAGAAAAGTTCTCATTGTAATCAATGCCTTCTCTTTGCGTAAAGTCTTTTGCCACAAGTCGCGCTTTATATCTCTTTATATTCCCTTGAGAGTCAAGTTTTGTTTTGTAAACCCATTTACAGCCTACCGTTTTGGCTCCTTTAGGAATTATTTCTATATCCCAAACTTTATTGGCATTCATAGATTTCATTTAATCTTCCATGACCTCAAACCACTTTGATGAATGATCACTTCTCATGGCTTCTTCAAATGAGGTGGGATCATCCTCCATTTAAAATTTGAGACTTTTTCCTATGTGCCATTATAAAAGATCGTAATCCCCTGTGTGCTCCTGGAAAAATTCAGCGGTCTTCAGCGCCACTACTCCAACTTTTTTGGGTCCTCCATGCCACTTCCGTCAGTTCAGGCTCTAACGTCGTCAAACTGCATGTGTGAAAAGACGAAAATGCCCTTAAGTTCAAATATATTATTAATTTTTAAGCATCTTAACGACTTCAAATGAAAAAACTCAAAACTAAAAAGTTGTAGATCTCGTCGAGATCTATAATTTTCATATAAAAATTATTTTTATTTAATTCCGTAAAAAAATGATTTGATATGATTAATATATCTTAGAAAAATCATCATATTTTTTTTGCGGAATTAAATGAAAATAAATTTTATATGAAAATTATAGATCTCGACGAGATCTACAACTTTCTAGTTTTGAGTTTTTTCACTTGAAGTCGTTAAGATGCTCAAAAAAAAAATTAATAACATATTTAAACTGAAGGGCATTTTCGTCTTTTCACACCTGCAGTTTGACGGCGTTAGAGCCTGAACTGACGGACGTGGTATGGAGGACCTGAAAAAGTTAGAGTAGTGGCGCTGAAGACCGCTGAATTTTTTCAGGGGCACACAAGGAATTACGATCTTTTGTAATGGCACACAGGGAAAAGTCTCTTAAAATTTCTCAGTGTTGTATACTTAATAGTTAGCAGAAATAGTTAATTTTCTAACTCTTTGAGACCTTCTAGGGGCCTCCACATTTGACACATCTTCTGTTTGAGTCTGTTGTTGCTCCCCCTCATGTGTGGCAATAGGTTCTATAGGATCCTGAAGAACAGGTTCCTCATCGTCATTCATTGTTGCCACAGGCGAAATATCAACAGGTGCTGGCACCATAGTATCTTGCACTATCGGTGCAACGACAACAGGTAGTGAGAAAAATGGCTCATGAATCATCAGAATGGGCACATACACTCGCTTCTCTGTAAGGTTAATTTCTCGAGCTACAATGCCCCCCTCATCATTTCATCCTCTAGGAAGACAGCGTCTCGTTTCCACAAATTTTGTTTGTCTGTCTGGACAGTAGAAACGAAAACCTTTTGACTTTTCTGGGTAGCCAATAAAATAGCAACTTACTGTTTTTGGATCAAACTTTCTAATGTTTGGGTTAAATACTTTAGCCTCAGCAGGACTCCCCCCACACGTAAGTGGTTTAGTGAGGGTACTCTTCCTGTCCACAACTCATACGGTGTTTTTGACACTGACTTACTTGGTACTCTATTGAGAATATGAATGGCGGTTTTTAACGCCTCCATCCACAGGCTCAACGGTAAGGTGGAGTAACTTATCATACTGCGCACCATATCCATCAGGGTACGATTACGTCTTTCAGCTACTCCATTCTGCTGAGGTTCGTCCGATGTAGAATACTGGGCTACTATGCCATTCTCTTGTAAGAACCTTGCAAAAGGTCCAGGAACTTGGCCATATAGGGTATGCCGACCGTAGTACTCGCCCCCACGGTCGGACCTGACTATCTTAATCTTTAAATTATGTTGGTTTTCAACTTCTGCCTTAAATATCTTAAATTTATCCAATGTTTCTGTTCTTTCTTTGATTGAATAAATATAGCCATAACGGGAGTAATCATCTGTGAATGTTATGAACAAATTATAACCATCCACACTCCTTACAGAAAACGGACCACAGATGTCTGTGTGAATAATCTGTAAAATTCCTGCGCTTCGCTTGGTATATTTCTTAATTTTCTTTTCATACTTTTCTTTTATGTATTCTCTGCATTGTTCTAAATCTGAGAACTCTAATGGAGGAAGAATATCATTCTTAACTAGTCTTTCTATTTCTCCCCTTGAAATATGGCCTAAACGACAGTGCTATAATTTCGATGACGCATCGTGAGCTCTCTTTCGTTTTCTGTTTACATCCACAGACGAGGATACATTCTCATTGTCGCACACAACGTTCCCATCATCGCATACAACATTCACATCATCACGTAATGATAACAAATAAAGCTTATTTTGTAAGATAGCAAGACCAACACATGCATTATTAAATGTTATCTTACATTTGCCATTTCCAAAATGGCAATCATATTCATCATTGTCCAAGCATGAAACACTAATCAAGTTTCTATGTAAAGAGGGAACATAAAGTACATCTCTAAGTAAAAGTGTGAAGCCATCAACAAGCTCTAGAGAAAGATCGCCAACGGCTTCAACATCTGCTCGGACTCCATTTGCAACTTTAACATGTCTTTCTCTTCTTTGCGTAGTCGGGACAATCTTTCTTATAATGTCTCGTCTTCTTGCAACAGAGACACTGGTCTTTCTCTACTGTAAACTTGTTCTGCTGAGGCTGATGCAGCATGGGACCCTTTTCCTTTGACTTTGAGGAGGAGTTAGGCCCTGTTTGGTTGAGCTGTGGCTGTGGAAAAAAGCTACTGTGGGCTGTGAGCTGTGGAAAAGCTGCTGTGGGCTGTGAGCTGTAGAA